CCAAAAAAAAAAAAAAAAAAAAAAAAGGAGTATGTCAGGAATTCCCTGGCGGTTCAGTGGTTAGGGCTCCACACTTTCATTCCTGAGGGCATGGGTTCAATCCTTGGTTGAGGAACTAAGATCCCGCAAGCCACAAAGCCAAAAAAAAAAAAAAAAAGAAAAAAGGATATGTCATAATAAGTGTGTAATAATTACAGATAAGAGCACAGGATTTGAATTCTGACATATACTGTTTGATCCTGGACTGGTAAATATAATTTGAGTGTCTCCAGTGTATTAAGAACTGCAAGGACCACTAGAGATAGAGACAGTTGTGGCAGTTATGCACTTTGAATTATAATGTGAGGCGATGTTATTACAAATGAAAATTAAATTATTGATATGTCTTTATAAAATTCAGGTTACAGTAGGGTTTTCAGTCTTGGCAATATTTATATTTTGGACCAGGTAATTCCTTGCTGGGAGATGAGGAAAGAAGACTGTTTTATGTGTTGTAGGGTGTTTAGCAGCATCCCTGGCCTCTACCCTCTAGATGCCAGTAGCCCTTTCAGTTGCAACCATCAAAAATGTCTCTAGACATGGCCAAATGCCCCGGAGGACAAAATTGCCCCCACTTGGAACCACTAGGTTATAGGGATAAACTTATATATTATTTTTGTGATAAGAGAATTTAATACTGTTTGAGAATATACCACATACTTATTTTTGCAGAGTCTTTTCCATTTGAGTGGAAGAATAGTTCATTTTCCTCCTTTATATCCCTTTGGGGTGCTCTCTGAGAGAGACTGTGCTCAGACTGGTCTGGAATGTGGAGCCTAGCAGTGAGCTAGGCTGAGACTGGAGCCCTTAAATGCAACAGAAGAATGGAGTCTGAATTGTGGGTGGGAATTGTGCTTATCTTTGTAGATGCACAGTGAAAAGATCATTTGCACTATGACGAGCGTTACCAACTTTAAGTATCTGTGATTCAGTGAAGTTTACTTTGAAATATTGTAGGTATGTCTTACATTTGATAGAAGATACAGAAATACATGGCACAGGCATTTTCTAGGGCCCTGAGTACTCCTGACAGACCCTTATCTCTGAGCATAAAGTTCAAAGGTTTCCACTAATCAGATGGTGAAATAGGAAATCTCAGTCTCTTCTAGGGATTGCTTCATAGTTTGGTGAGCTGACCATCTTTTTTCATATGATTACTGGCCATTTATTTTTCTTTAAGTGATTTGCCTCCTGTTCTTTGCTTATATTTCAATCACAGTATTCTTTTCCCCAGTTTCTTTCTTTTTCTTTCTTTTTGCTGTTCAGTTATAAAATACTTACGTAAGTAGCAGATCTTTTCATTGTTACTAATGTAACCCTTTTTTTGCTTGATTTTTCTCTTTTCTGGGGGGTGGGGTGGGAGGAGGCGTTTACCTTGTTTATTTTTGCTCATTCTTCGGCTTTCAACATTTTTGAATCATTTTGTGTTAGGTATTTACAGTCTATAGTTGGGCTTTGTTTTTTCAACATGATCCTTTTGTCTTTGTTAATAGACGAGTTTATCTCTAAATGAGGTAATCATGCTATATATGTGTTTAATCTATTCCATCTAATTGTTATGCTTTCCTTTTTGTTTTCTCTCAGTGTCGGGGCTTAAGTTTCAGATACGTATTTAAGATATGTTTAAACCTTCATTTCTCAAATTACTTCAGAAACAAAATAGTGTCTATTGTGATCTTCCGTTTTCTCTCAATATTTAGCGTTGTGCTGAGATTTTTATTCTTATTATAGTTAAATGACTTTTCTATTTTGTGGCTTATACTTCAAAAACAACATTTACTTTCTGCTTTTCTGACCTTATTTCCACAGTTCCTTTACTGTATCTGCTTATCTTTCACAAGACAGCTTCCTCATTTGCAATTCTTCGTGAGTAATCATCTTGGCCAGATTGTCTTCATGAAGATATTTTTTTCCCCTCCAGAAAGTGTACATGGGTGCTACACTTCCTGAGTCTCCTTTCTGTCAGCTCCAGATGGGGACCACAGTTTGGCATGTCCTAGAATTCTTAGGTTGTACTTTTTATTGAAGTAAAAGTGACACACAGTAAACTGTGCATGTTTAAAGTGTATGATTTGAAAAGTTCAACATATTATACACCTGTGAAAGCATTACTGCAATCAAGATAATAAATATATGTATCCATGGCCCCCAAAAGTTTACTTGTGACCCTTGGTAATCCCTCTACCCTCACTCTCCATCTCTAGGCAGCCACTGATTTGCTTTCTGACACCATCAGTTTATACTTTAAATCATTTTATAAAAAAGGAATCCTATAGAATGTACTTTTTGGGAATTTGACTCAGCATGATTATTTGAAGAGTTATCAATGTTGTTGCATGTAGTTTATTTCTTTTTCCCCATTCAAATGTTACTTTCTGTTCTTTTAAAAATATTTTTTCTAAAATAATAAAGAAATATTTCATACAGAAAAAGAAAGGTTCCTAGTCTTTGAGTTTACTCTCTTTTTATTGCTGAGGAGTATTCTACTGTTCTATCCCATACCACAATTCAGTGTCACTTCATCTGTTGATGGAAATTTCGGTTGTTCCAGTACTGACCTATTACAAATAAAGCTGCCATAAACATTCATGTATAAGTCTTTGTATGGACTTATGCTTTTGTTTCCCTTGGGCAAATATCTCAGAGTGGTCATATGGTGGGTGTTTTAAGTTTAACTTGTAAGAAATTGCCAAGCTTCTTCTAAAATGGTGATTCTGTTTTACATTCCCACCAGCAGTGTATGAAAGTTCCAGTTACTGCACATCCTTGCCAACCCTTAGTATGGTCAGTCTTTTCCATTTTGGACAGTATTGTAGGTTGTAGTGTATCGTTGAAGTTTAAATTTGCTTTCCCTTGATAACTGGTGCTGAGCATCTTCTCATGTTCTTAACTGACGTTTGTAGAATTGCTCAGTTTTTAAAATTGGGTGGTTTTCTTATTATTCAGATTCATAAGTTCTTCATATGTTCAAGATACAAGTCCTTCATCAAATAGGTGATTTGCAAATATTTTCTCTCAGTATGTGGTTTGCTTTTTCATTTTCATAGCAATGTCTTTTGGTGAGTGTATTTTTAAAAATTTGATGAAGTCCAATCCATCAGTTTTTTCTATTACGACTGGTGTTTTTTTTTGTCCTATTCATGAAATCTTTGTCTGTTTTGAGTGTTGCAGATATCTTTTTTTTTGTCGAAGCTTTATAATTTTAGTTTTTATGCTTAGAACTATGATTTATTTAAAATTAATTTGAGTGCATGGTGTGATACAAGGGTAGGGGTTCATTTTTCCCCAAGCTTTGTTGTTGTTCCCACACCATTTGTTGAAAAGATACATGTTTCTCTACTGAATTACATTGATGCCTTTGTTGAAAATCAAGTTGACTATAAACGTGTGAGTTCGTTTCTGAGTTTTCTCCAGTTCTGTTGATCTGTTTTGTCTGTCTTTATACTGGTACCACACTGTCTTGATTGCTATAGCTTTTTTTTCTATTGTAGTAAAATATGCATAACATAAAATTACAATTTTAACCATTTTTAAGTGTACATTTCAGTGGCATTAAGTACATTCGCATTTTTTTCTGCATCACCACCATCTAGCTCCAGACCTTTTATTTTCATCCCAAACCGAAACTGTGTGCCCATTAAACAACAATTCCCCATTCCCCCTACTGCAGCCCCTGGCAACCAGCATTCTACTGTCTGTCTCTATGAATTTGTCTACTCTAAGTACCTCATGTGAATGGAATCATATAGTTTTTGTCCTTTTGTGACTGGCTTGTTTCATTTAGTTTTCAAGGTTCATCCATGTTGCAGCATATGTCAGAATTTCCTTCCTTTTCAAGGCTGAATAATATTCTTTTGTATGTGTACACCACATTTTGTTTCTTCATTTATTCATCAGTAGGCGCTTGCGTAGCTTCCATGCTTTGCAGTTGTGAATAATGCTGCTGTGAACATGGATATCTAAATAACTGTTGAGCCCCTGCTCTCTGCATTCAGTTCTTTGGGGTATAAACCTGGAAGTGTGATTGCTGGATCTTCTAATCCATATCCTACACTACAGCCAAAATAATGTCTTTAACACTTAAATCATCTAGACCATGTCTGTGTCTCTGTTTCTCTCCTACAACTTCAGTCCCCTTGTACTGCATTTAGAGTACAGCACAATCCAGACTTCTTAGCATGGCTTCTTACCAGGGCACAACATAATAGGGCGCTGCCTCACCTCCAACCTCATTTCTGCTTCTCTCCCACTTCTCTCTAAACTCCAGCCAAATAGACCTGCCATCTGTTTCTTGAGCATCCAGGCTCTTTCCTGTACTAGGACCTTTGCACGTGCTGTTTTCTCCACCACCACAAAATCCGACCTCCAAACACAGCTCTTCTTTATCCTTTAGGTTTCAGTATAAATGTTATCTCTTCAGACAGGGCTTCCCTCATGACATATTTAAGCATGTCACCTATTTATTCTCTTTCATAACATCTTTCCAGTTTTTCCAAAGTCCTTTATTCAGTGTACAAAGACACATTTATTTAGTTTTAAAATAACTGACTCCCCCTACCCCTACCCCACCCCATACCTCAAGCTCCATGGTGGCAAGAACCATAATAGACCAGCACCTGCACACAGTTGGGAAGGAGTGAACAGTGAGAGACACGTGTAGCCTCACAAAGTAATTGGAAAGAGGACTCTTCTCATAGGATGTATTGGTTTGGCAAGCTTCTAAAAATCAATCCTATTACTTTGCATTACTTCCATATGTGTTTAAAATTTAATCCAAATTATTCTCTCATTTGAATTATATGGTGTGACAAATCATTTCATATGATTTAGGGATCAGGTTTAACCTGAAAGTAAGTATAAGGTCAGAGTTGAAACTGTAATAAAATATGTTGGATATTCTGTATGTCTGTAGTATAAAGATTTGGTTTCCCTGTTTTCACCATTGTTTTCTTCCTTCACAGACTGAGACAACACTTGGACTCAGTTCATACCAACAGAAAAGGTAAGGCAGTAATAGGTATATATATATTTTTTAATATATAAAATTTTATGTATTTAGTAAGATACTGACATACTTTTAGGTCTTTCTGGGGGATTCCCGCTCTCCGTTTTCCCCATACTTTTTTTGGTGAGGAGGGAAAACAAATAGTAAATCACATTATATCATGCATTTCAAGTATTGTGTATGGAAGACTAAGTTTAAATCTGAATTTGCATGTCGTGCATTGTGTAGCATTCCTTCCGCATCACATGCAAAGGGGTTTACTTGTAGCTGAAACTCCCCTTGCTTTGGAAGAGTTTCGGCTTTATAGCTCCCAGTGACCTCTCCCGAGGTCCTCCCCGCTTTTTATGGGCTGAGCAGTGCTGCCCTCAGTTGTCATCAAGGGTCTACCTGCAGGCCCCTGGCAGAGGAAGTTACCGTATAAGGAGAGATGATTCTAATTACAGGAGACCCTAACTGGTTGTCTTGTTGACCCCCCTTGTTTGACACATGAGGACTCTGAGATTCTTAAAACCAAGGGATGTGCTAACAAGGTTGGACTGGCAGGGTTTCAGGTAGAATTCATTATCTTCTGATCACCAGCCCCGTGTTGCATTCCCTTTGATATTCTTATATCAAATATGGAATCCTTCAGTGTTCGCTGTATTTTCTCTCTTTAGCCAGAAGAGCAATATAGAGTTAGTTAAGAATTAGAGGGGAAATGCTTTGAAAGAGGCATAGGGGAGGCAGTGGAGGCACAGGAAGGAAAGTAGTCGTGATAGAGCTTACATGGTAGGGAAGAGAGGTGAGAGTCTGCACAGTCTGCTCTGTGCTGGGGCTGTGGGTACACTCCCTTCCTTGAGACGTCTTGAAGGACAGTAGAGACACAGCTTCTGATGAGGTTATAAAGCATATGTGTTGATGAAATGACAAAGGCAATCTGCTTTCTGAAAGAAGGCAGCTCACTTGAAGAGTATATTATAATCCAATGATAGAAGCCTCAGGGCTTAGTTGTAGGAGATCAGGTACCTGAGACACATGGGTGTGCCTCACATGGTGTCTCACTTTCATCATCAAGACAGTCCACAAGGCCTAAGGCATGGCTGAGGTGAAGTTAGCCTCTGACTGCAGCTCCTGGTCTCCACTACTGGCTGCCTCTACCAGCTTCTCCTTGGGGGCACCCCCGTTGCTGCTGAGCATTAGAGATTGCTGAGATGGATACTTTGTGGCTTTTGAACTCCTGTAGTCATTTCTGCGCCAGTTTCTGACTTCTTGTACTCCCCAGTTGTATAGTCCATTTGCTGCCCTGTGACTTTTCTAGTAAAAGCCAAGAGATTCAGCCCCATCCTTTCTTGTATTGCCTATACATGATCTCCTGAGTGAAAACTCTGATTCTGTAAGTGAAACTTAACCTGCTCCAGGGAAATTTATATCATGAAAAGCTTAGTTACAAAATGATTCTGTAGCTAATGGTGGTGAAGCTAGTCTCTGGCTACCATTTGCTCCGTCTCCACCACAACGGTTACTATCTGCTTCAGCCCCAAGGGCTTCCAGGACATTCTGCAAAGAGAAGAGCTGCTGCTTTCACGACCTCAGGATCATGGGAAGTAAAACTATGAAAGAATTTTCCAAGATACTCTTTTTTATATTTCTCTCCTACCTTCTGGTTCACCCTTTCTAATTCGTTTTAATACAGTTATCAATTACATGATAATATTTTGTTTAAAAAGATGCCAGCTACATAATATAATGGTGGTTAATGTGGACATAGTGTTCCATCAGTGTTTATTTTAGTTGAACACCAAAATGTTACAATGAGTACCAGTAATGATTTAATATTTGGGGACGTGAGGCCACCTTTTATGAATGTCTTTTCTAGGGTTGTGGAGCCCTATGGTGGGAGATTAGGAATTAAAGAGACCTCTGAGTTCTGTGTTCACCAGATGTGTAGCCTGGAGAAAAACTAATTAACTGCTCTGAGCATGACTTTCATTTGCATACTGGGGAAGATCATTTCTCGGCCTGATGTATCTTATATGTGATATAAGGTTATGCGTTATATAAGGTTGCTGTAAGGACCAAATGAGAAACTTATTTGGGTAACAGTAGTTTGCAAACATTAAAATGTTACATAAGTTGTGGGTGTTTGTTAATTTATTTGTTCAGTCATTCAGCAAATATTTACTGGAATCTTTACATACACCAGGCATTGTTCTAAGAATTAGTGATTCAGTCATTGTGTTTGTGTTCTATTGCTGTGTGATAAATTACCTCCAAACCTAGAAGCTTAAAACAACAGACATTTATTATTTTTCTGTTTCTGTGAGTGAGAAATTTGGGAACAGCTCTGCTAAGTAGTTGTGGCTCAGGGTCTCTCGTGAGATTTCAGCCAAGACATCAACCGAAGCTGCAGTCATCTGAAGGCCTGGTCCCGGTGGGTCCTCTCCAAGATGGCTCACTCACATACCATTAGCAGAAGGCCTCAGTTCCTTACTGGCTGTTGGCAGGAGACCTTAGTTCTTTGCCATGTGGAACTCTCCGTAAGGCTGCTTGAATGTTCCCGAGTCACAGCAGCTGGAGACCCTAGAGCAGGAGATCCAAGAGAGAGCACAAGGAGGAAGCCACAGTGTCTTTTGTAATTGGGTCACACAGTCACTTCTGCCATAGTTTATTCATAGGAAGCTACCCCCAAGGAGAGCAGAATTAAGCCCCCACCTCTTGAAGAGAGGCAGATCAGAGAATTTGTGAACACATTTTAAAACTACCACAGTGCTGTCTGGGCCAGATTGTCAAGACTCCTGCCCTGGTAAAACCTGTATGCTAATGGGGAAAACAGACAATAGGCCACGAAATAAATGAACAAAATATCAGCTAGAGAAAGGTCTGGGATAGACAAGACTCCATTGCTTCTTTAGATTTGACCATAACGAAGGCCTCTCTGAAATGATGTTTCAGCTTACCTGGTGAAAGTCTTAGGGCGGAGCATTTCAGACAGAGGAACAGCTAGTGCAAAGGTTTGATATTGGGAGCAGTGTTGTTGTTATTATATTATGTTGTTATAAGAGCTGGAAATGTTGCTGTATACAGTTAGGTAAGAAGGATACATGTGTATATCTCTGTGTGTATGTGTATACACAGTGTCCACAAGAAGAACCAGAGTCTTCTGATCTTTAAGTGCCCTGGTATCTCTAGGATATAAACCAAAAATACTGGGCTACGGAGTACTTTTCACATTAAGGTGGTTGAGGTTCTTTAGTTGACTGTATAGTTTGCTTTTTATTAAGTACAACCATTTTGGTTGCCTGCAGTTAACCATAAGAATCTAGAAGATTATAGTTAGAGCCAGAGCTTGCTAATACCTTAATAGCAGATAAAGTCTGCTCACAATTACAGTTTGTCTAATATCTGTTATAAATTTTGTGAAAAAGTTAAAAGGAACGTTCTTAAGTTGTTTTTTAAGATTCCATTTGGGTTTATACTTAGATTAATTTTCTAGCTCTGGAGCTTTTTAGCCACACATGAAGTGACATATATGCAAAAAACAGTACTACTTTGCATAAATCTTGAAGACTGTAGTAATTTTGATGGTAGACTTAAACCCAACCATATCAAATATTGTAATAACTGGGAATGGTTTCAAGACCAGTTGTCAGACTATATTAAGGGAAGATCTAAGCATATATTGTCTACAAGAAATGTACTATATTTTTCAATTTAATTTTTTTATCATTGGTTTTGAAATAACTTTAGAGGATAGATGCAAAAGGGGTACAAAGAATTCCCATATGTATCCCATGTACATCTTGACCTAGATTGATTCCCCATTTAGCATTTTACCACATCTGCTTGATCATTCATAATCTCCCTCCCCACCTCTTCTTTCCTCCTTCTCTCTCTCTTCCCTATCTTTCTCTATATAGGTATATATGTATATGTAATTATTTTTCTGAATTTTTTGAGAATCAGTTGTAGACATGATGGTCTTTTATTTTACCCCTAAAAACTTCAGTGTATAATTCTTATAAATACAGACATTATTTTACAAGTCACAGTAAAATCAGGAAATTAATACCTACATATACTACTTCATCTACAGACCTTATTTTAATTTTGTCAGTTGGTCCATTAATGACTTTCACTTTAACAAGTAAAGAAATTCTTGGTCCAAGCTTCTACTTCTCACCCTCACATTTTATTTATTTATTTATTTATTTTTACATTTTATTTTATTTTTTAGCTGCGCCGTGGAGCACGTGGGGTCTTAGTTCCCCAACCAGGGATCAAACCCATGCTTCCTGCATTGGGAGCACAGAGTCTTAACCACTGAACACCAGGGAAGTCCTTCCCCTCACATTTTAATTCATTGTGTTAAAATTTACACATTTTTTTTTATCGTCCATTCAATAGCAAATTATTGTAATTTATTTTTAATATGTTTGTTTTTTAACTTTTAAACTAGAGTGGTAAGTGAATTATGTACCATCATCACAGTATTAGAGAATCTGAGTTTGACTGTATATTTACCATTACCAGTGAGTTTTACACATACATTCATATGTTTTTTGATGTCAGTTAGCATCCTTTTATTTCTGCTTGAAGAACACCCTTTAGTATTTCTTGTAAGACGGAAGTGGCTATGATGAACCCCCTCAACTTTCGTTTGTTCAGTGAAGTCTTTCTCTCTCCTTGATTTCTGAATGACAGCTTTGCTGGGTATAGTATTGTTGTTTGACAGTTATTTTCTTTCAGTAGTTTGAATGTCATCCCACTCTCTCTTTGCCTACAAAATTTCTGTTGAGCAATCCACCTGTACGGTACCTCCTTCTTATCTACGGGGCATACATTCCAAACACTACACTATTACTGATAGTACCAAACACTATATATACTCTGTTTTTTCCTATGCTGACAGTGGGTCACATATACAGCAAGGGTACAGTAGACAAAGGGATGATTCATGTCTCGGGCAGGACAGCACGAAGTTTCATCATGCTACTCAGAAGGGCGTGCCGTTTAAAACT